CTCGCTTCTATTAACTTTACACAGCACAGGAAGAACATAAAGTGGCCTGACATTGCTTGTGATTCAAATGTTAGTTGCCACGAAAATGACTTTACAGCTTTATGTTCCAAATATGAATGGTGTTTTGACTTGTAATTCTAGTTGAATTCATTGACTTAAATTCATTAAGAAACATCAAGTCTGCAGCAAAAGCTAATTTCTGAAACCATCTAGTGTTCGATGATAATGGTTAAGGGAAGTTCTTATTCAGAAATTTTAAGTCTTGGCCCTGAACTCAGAAAGTCTCAATAAAACGTTTTCACTGCCAAGCCATCAAACTGCTGTATGGTCGGGCAAGTCAGGATTTTCAGCTTCTACTTCTGTTAAAAATTCATGGAACTGACAATGGCTAAGTTACACTTGACACTACCAGTTCAGTAATATATGATAGATTCATGGATTTTTGGAAAAGTACCTCCTGGTGAATAACAGTGAATAGCTTTCAAACATCTTGTTTTTTCCCCAACTGTAAATTTGTTTAACTAAGCCTTTTTCTGCTTCACATGTATTTTTTTTTTTTTAACCACTATCAGTTGTGGCACATCTTTGCAAATTCCAATTCAGGTTGTACTAAATGTCTTGTCAATTTTGAAAATATTTTTGCTTATAGTAGTTCCACATAGACTATTCACAGAGGATAATGCTTCAGTCACTGCTATGGTGACTTCTAGGGTCCAATTTTCTTGGGACTAATGAGGTTCCCATAAGGTGATACTTTCAACGTTAAAACCAGAAAGGTTCTGGGCAAACTGGGATGAATGGGTCACCCTAGCACTTCAAACTTGACATTGACCTCTTGAACTGAGCAGTACTGGTAACATCTGTTAACCCATCATGAGCCAAGGAAAACATTCAAGATCATTTGTTTTTATTGTACTGGCATCATCATAGCTCACTGCAACCTCAAACTCCTGGGCTAAAGTGATCTTTCTGCCTCACTCATTTTCCGGAATAGCCAGGATTACATGTGTGTGCCAGAGGGGCTGACTAGTTTTTCTGTTTTTAGTAGAGACGGGGTCTAGCTCCTGCTCAGGCTGATCTAAACTCCTGGGCTCAAGCGATCCTCCTGCCTAGGTCTCACAGAATGCTAGGATTACAGGCGTGAGCCACCATGCTGGGCCCATTTGTCTTGGTTCTAAACTGGCTATTGATGTTGCTGCTCCCTTAACTCCATGCAACTGTTCCCACTGAAAGGCCAACAGTCTTAAAAAGTTTGTTTTTTCTGGCCACATTTCTTTAGCTGCTGCAGTTAAACACCTCATTGGTTAAGTGGCTTTCCTTGTTTGGCTGGCTAACAAACCACATGGGAACTTCAGTTACAGACTCATTTTCATTTTTTATTTGTGTCAAGAAATTGGGTGCTGAGATATTCCATTTTAAATATCTTTTTTTTTTTTGAGACGGAGTCTCACTCTGTTGCCTGGGCTAGAGTGCCATGGCGTCAGCCTAGCTCACAGCAACCTCAAACTCCTGGGCTCAAGCCATCCTCCTACCTCAGCCTCCCGAATAGCTGGGACTACAGGCATGCACCACCATGCCCGGCTAATTTTTTCTATATATTTTTAATTGGCCAATTAATTTCTATTTTTAGTAGAGACAGGCTCTCACTCTTGCTCAGGCTGGTTTCGAACTCCCGACCTTGAGCTATCCTCCCTCCTCGGCCTCCCAGAGTGTTAGGATTACAGGCGTGAGCCACCGCGCCTGGCCTAAATATCTAATTCTTTTGACTGATGCTTGTAAAGTTTTCAGGCAGCAAAAGAAACAGAAAGACTGAGTGCGGCCAAACAACGTGGCTTTATTATGCGCTCCTGGATGAGGTTCTTGGATCCCAAGAGAAAGGGGCATGAGAAGTCACATCTGCTTGAAAGGGGTGTGAGCTTTTACTGTTGAGGAGGCTAGGGTCTTTTGGTGGGAAGGGCTGGTTTTTTTCCACTGTGGTCTTTGTCTGTTCTTGAGAAACGGGGAGGGGCTGGTGGTACTTGCAGATGCTAAGAGGAGGGCCTAGTGGTGTCTGCAGATTCCAGGAGGACGGGCTGGTGGTGCCTGGCAGTGGTTTTTGGCAGGTCTGGTCAGTGAGCCAGTTCTCTTTTTTTCTCTAGGGAGGAGAGGGGGACCCGCCACCAGCCTTAAACTGCTCTCCTGTCAGTTGGGAATATTGCGATAAATGCTTAGTGTGGTAACACTGACATATATTGTATTCTTCTAACAGCCAGGAGTGTCACTGAGAAATAAATACCATGCTTTACCATCCAATTTTATAATACATAAAATTCACACTACCATGATACATGGTGGCACTTGAAATGTGTTTAAACTGAGTCACTGCAATTTGTACTGCACCCAGAAGCAGTGCCAAGTAGAGGACCACATATGGTCTCTGTCACAACTGAACTCTTGAAGCACAGAAGTAGCCACAGACAGTATGTAAATACATGAGCATGGCTGTGTTCCAATAAACATTTATGGACACTGAAATTTGAATGCTTTGCCACTTTCATGTGCCATGAAATATTTTTCCCTAACCACTTAAAAATGTAAAACAAAAACAGGCAGTGGGTCAGTGTTGGCCTGCAGTCTAAATTGCCACCATGGAGTCCTACCCATGTGTAGTTAGGTTTGAGCCATGTGATTATTTCTGCCTATATTAAGTAGAAATTAATATTCCTGGGCTAAGGATAGCAGCAATCTGCAAGGTGTCTAATTTGAGTTAGTCTTTAAACAAGAAATATCCTTCGAGGTATTGAAGAGATTCTGGAATTCACATTAGCAAAGTCTACCCTAATTTTTCTTTTTTATTGAGAGAGTCTTGCTTTGTTGTCCAGGCTAGAGTGAGTGCCGTGGCGTCAGCCTAGCTCACAGCAACCTCAAACTCCTGGGCTCAAGCGATCCTCCTGCCTCAGCCTCCCGAGTAGCTGGGACTACAGGCATGCGACACCATGCTCGGCTAATTTTTTCTATATATATTAGTTGGCCAATTAATTTCTTTTTATTTATAGTAGAGACGGGGTCTAGCTCTTGCTCAGGCTGGTTTCGAACTCTTGACCTCGAGCAATCCGCCCTCCTCGGCCCCCCAGAAGTGCTGGGATTACAGGCGGGAGCCACCTCGCCTGGCCCTAATTTTTCAAGTGTCGTATCACAAATCAACCAGGACAATTTCCAGTCATAGTGATCAGCTGACTTGGATATGGCCACACTGTATTCCACTGTGCTAGCAATAGAAAACCCCATTTTGAATTTGTTAACTTTCATTCAATGTTTAACGTTTAAACACCATTTCTGTGGCATTTATTCATTTGACACTCCATCTTATGGCCAATATGCCGCTTGTGAAATGTCTGGCTCTACTGAAACTAGTCTGTGAATTCATATTTCTTTATTGCTTTTTGTTCTGATTATATGTAATAGGAACATATTTCTAAAAAATAGGAAATGGAAAAAATCTAGTCCACAGCATTAATATTTTGATATGTACCTTTCCATCTCTTAAAAAAATTCACTTTTAAAGCCGGGCACGGTTGCTCACACCTATAATCCTAGCACTCTGGGAGGCCGAGGTGGGCGGTTGCTCAAGGTCAGGAGTTCGAAACCAGCCTGAGCAAGAGCTAGACCCCGTCTCTACATAAAGAAATTAATTGGCCAACAATATATATAGAAAAAATTAGTCGGGCATGGTGGTGCATGCTTGTAGTCCCAGTTACTCGGGAGGCTGAGGCAGGAGGATCGCTTGAGCCCAGGAGTTTGAGGTTGCTGTGAGCTAGGCTGATGCCGTGGCACTCACTTTAGCCTGGGCAACAAAGCGAGACTCTGTCTCAAAAAAAATAAAAATAAAAAGAATTCGCTTTTACGTAGTTGTGGTCAAACTAATTGCACAATTTTGAGTTACATCCTCACTTCAACCTACTTGCTCCATAGTACTTACTGCAAAAACCTTTCCTAAGTATTTCACTGGCTGAGGGGCCTCTACTCTTGATTCCAGCCTGTCTCCTACTCCAGGTCACATTACAAAGTCCTCCTACACAATTTAAGTACTGATGAATGGTACCGTCCCTAAGGGGATGGGTGAGTTTGGGAAGAGGGAAATATTCAGTTCATCTTGCCACATACATACTTTTTTTTTTTTTTTTTTTCACACAAGAGGAGGTTTATTTTCTGGCTAGCCAGGGTCCAAGCTGCAGAGCACCAACGCAGTGGCCACTCTCGCAGGCAAGGACCCATACATACGTTTTTGAATGCACGTCACTTGCGTGGGTAAAAAATGATAGACTCATGTCACTGTGCAGAGAAGCTTATCTGATGCTTTTCCAGAAATGAAAGAGACATCCAGATCCACTGAGTTAGGAGATGGTTCAAAAAGTGTGGCATTCATTCCACAAATACATGCTGAACATGTATATGTCAGGAACTGTTCGATGTATTATCTGCTTTTTGCATATACTTAAAACCAATTCTGTTTTGCATTTTGTATCAGAACACCTAGCCCAGTAACTTAAAGACTTAAATACTAAATGAAAAAAACTCCTGATGGCAATGAATGTTTTTGATGAATCTCTATTAGCTATACAAAAGCACATTTCAAAGGCATCAGAAACTGAAAAACAGATGAGGAGAAAATTTACTATATTTCCCAAGACTCCTAAGTCTTACTTACATAGAAATAAATTGTAGGAAAAAATTTATTTGCTGATCATTGTTTAAATCTTGGAATTCCCGCTAATGATACTGATACAAAATGTCATTAACAGTTATTAATCCATGCTAGCCCATTAAAAACTAATTTAGCATTATGGTAAAAATGAGTCATTTTGAATCCTATTAACACTTGAACTAATACATAAATGAATCTGCACTAACATTTGAACTTCCTTCTCACTTCTCATACAATTTAACTTCTAGTTTCAATCAACTGATGTTAAAGTCTAAAGTATCCTGATGGGTGAAAAGAGAAGTGCATGACAACCAAGTAGATGGTCAAACAAGACAGTCTTTATTTGGTAGTCACAAAAAGGGCTGCAGTTTAGAACTTAAACCTGTAGTTAATGGTGACTGTTCTATCCAAGCAAAGTAATTAAGGAGAGCTATGAAATCTGAGGACTAGAGACCAGGAAAAAGAGGTAGCGTGAGCCCAGCCACTGTAAGCGGGTATGCACCCCTGTATTTCAGAAAGCGCAGGCAAGCCAAAATTACAAATTGCTTTCCTTACTGACTTGACCAAATAGTGTGTTTTTCCTCCAGAAATCTTGTCAAGGGTTGCATTTTATTGTACCTAGTATGGAATTAGCCCACAAAACAAAATCACATTTTTCAGAAGAAATATTATACATAATACATTCAGAATCACTGATTGCTTTTTCTTCGTTTTTTTTTCTGTGAACGTGTAGGTGTTTGAGTCTTTTGTATTTCTTCTTTTACACTGGATTTGGGCTGTTTGAAAACTATTTCATTATCTTTATCATCATCATCATCATCGTTCATTTCAGCCACTTCAGATTTTCGCTTCTCCAAAAATGTTGGTGTACAAACTGGTGTAGGGCCCTGGATTCAACAAGTAAAAGATTATAATACATAAAGTTAGAGCAATATCATTACTTTACCCAAAAAGTATCACATCCCCTCTATTTTTACAAGTTGCACCATGTTATTTTAGGCCTGTTTCCATCTTTTGGTGATATAATTACAGATAATAAAGAGCTTAGGTGCTTACCAAACAATATGGAAATTCACAATTCATTAAAATATAATAAGCTTCATTATAAGGAAGGTGTTAGATAGAAATTGCTAAATTACTAGTAAGGATCTACACCAAATGTTACAAGATTTAGTTTAAAATCTTAACAAAATGACAGTAGCAAAACTGCTTTTCCTCCTTCAAATTACTTCTGTAATACCTGGTGCCCAGGATATTGAAGACACTTTTACCTGGCTATCCACGGTCTTCTCAGGAGTGTCAGGACTGCATGAAACCTGTTGTTTCTTTTTCTTAGGTAAAACCTTCAAATAAAAAGGCTATCAATTTACATCTTAATCAGTCTTGAATATATTTTCCTATTTTATCTAATACCTGGCATGTAAAATGACAAAACTTTCCCTGGCTATTTGCAGACTTCCAGTGATCAGTTTTTGAAACCTTTTTTTCCTTTTTCTGTAAAATCTTAAATAAATAAAGTTATAAACTGGCAGTATTGCATCTTTCCTTTTTAAATTTACCATTAAATCCACATACATGTTATCAGTAAATACTCCCTAAATAACAGAACATTACAATTTAAAAAGCAAAACCCACAAGTATAGTGAATAATCTCCAGTAAAGGGCAAAACTATAAGAGGGGCCTGCCTGAGGGACTGGCAGAAGCTGCAGAGGTTGAATGGAAGGTCAAACTCGGAGCTGGATAATTCACAGAATTCTGAATTCAGGAGGAAGTAGGAAGAATGTAAAAGGGCGGGCACTGGACGCCTAACCTGGCTGAGTTCAGGCTCCCGGCAATAAAGTGAAGCATTTCTTCACTGAGCAACAAACAGGGTTCAGGAAAAGCAGTGCTTACACACTCATTTTCAAGCTTCACGGTCCCAGCTCCCTAATGGTTCACCAGAGTACTAGGGCCTAAGGCCTTGAAATAATGTTCCAGTACTGTTAAACACAGTGTTTGGGATTTGGGCAAAGAACTAACAACCAGATCAGCACTTTGGGAGGCCAACACGGGAGGATCACTTGAGGCTAGGAGTTTGAGACCAGCCTGGGTAACATAGCAAGATCCTGTCTCTACTAAATAATAATTAAAAAAAAATCTGCTGGGCGTGGTGGCATATACCTGTAGTTCTAGCTACTTGGGAGGCTGAGGTGGTAGGATTGCTTGAGCCCAGGAGTTTGAGGCTACAAAGACACTTCAGCCTGGGTAACAGAGTTAGACTCTGTCTCTTAAAAAAATCCAGAACAACCAGGAACTGGGCCAAAGGATAACTCAGCCTTCCAGTTTCTGCTAAGGTTTAAAGACCTAATAAACTTGGGAATAGATGCCAACCTTTACCAACTAATTAGCTTTCTGTAAAGAAGCCAACAGGGTCTATGGGAGATTGAAAACAATCTCAACATTTAGACAAGAAAAGCTGTAAGACCTTCACCTACTAGCCACACCCTTATGTCCTGCATTCTTGTTTTGTAGTAAAAGACATACAGCTCTCCTTACTGTGACAGATGAAGGAAAAATTCAGCAAGGCCTCCTTATTCTCCTTTTCCTTACAAGCAGGGAAGAAAGAACTGGATGAAAAACTGTGCTAACTCATCTTCATTTAAGTAGGCTTGCCGTATTTCAACCCTAGCTCATTGAATTTACAGAATTCATGTTTACTGGCTAATTCTGATATATAATTTAGGAGTATTTCCAGTTTACAAGATTATGAAACAAATAACCAAACATTTAACTCTGGTAATATCACTACTCTGGTAATCTAAGAGCATTATGGTTTAACTTCAATAACTTAAACACAGATCATGAAAGTTATGCAAATTAGATAACCCCTTTAAAAGAAGTTTCTTCTTCCCTACAATGAAAATAACAAGTATATTTTCTCATAAACCTTTGGGAAGAACCCATTATGTAATGTTTCAAAAATATAGCCCAAACTTAGTATGTGACAAGCATTGGACTAGATATCTTATATATAATAATAATGATGTGGATACATGTTATTACTGGTTAGATACAAAGCCTACCCCCAAGAAAAATCACAAAAAAATTCATAAAGGAGTATTTACCAATGAAGGAAAATCATAATCAATTCCTTTTTTAGCCAATCTTTCCCTGAGTAATTTTTCTTTCTTTTTAAAGCGCTTCTCCATCTTTAGTCTTTGTGTAAGTGTCCGTTTCTGATTATACCGTTTCACTGCTGGATATGACGGCTGTTTAAATGGAGTATTCCACTCTTTAAAAAGTTCATTGTGTACTTTTTCAGGTGGTATAACACAACCTATTTTTAAACAGGAAAAAAGAAAATTTTCAAACAAGTGGTTGGGAAGGGATTTTATTGTTAACTTTAGAATTTTCCCAGTGCCATTCCTCATGTCACAATCAAAATGATGAGGCTAATCTCGTATCAAAGTCACACATGAATCAATTCTACCCTAGTGGACTAAGTTAATGCTTTAAGACAGAAGCAACAAATGCTACAATTCAGTTCCCTTTCTGCTATTTTTCACAAGTCAAACACAGCACACTACTGACCTGGTACTCGTGGTTGACACCTTTCAGGTCACCTGCCCAGCCCATCCTCCTGGCAATGGCCATGCTTTTAATGTGAGAACAAACCCATGACCTCAAGCAGGATACTCAGATTCTCTCTCATAGCCATGGGAACTGGGGTGGAGATGCTACCTGGGCAGCCTTGGCAACTGTTTGGGCAGATATTTGTGAACTTGGTACCTGGAATGGCCACACACCACCATGGGCACAGGGAGGCCAGAAACTTAGCTCTGCCTTCCAAGGGCTTTGAGACCTGGATGGGGTGTTCAGGTTAGCCTCTGGAAACACAAAGTCGGAGGTTCCGTCTGCTCCTATCTGCAGGATGAACTTCTAACTGGGGTTGTCCCTCCACTACTCTTTCCGGGTTCTCTCCTGTGGCGGAACTGCAGCCAACGCCAGTCAGTTAGGCTGATTCTGAAATGTGATTCCTGACCTTTGATGTCATCCTGTCTAAAACCCATGAACGGGCTCCCCACTGCCCTCAGAATAAATTCTAAACTCCCTAATTTGGAAGGCCTTTAATAATATGACCTGTAGCCTATTTCTTCTTTTCTTGCTACTTCTCCTCACATTCCCCTCACAACCAGTGAGCCATCTCTGGCTTGGCATTTGCTGTCCCCTCAGCCAAGTACAGTTCAGTCTTCACTCCCATCCTCTTCACCTGGCTTGCTCCTATGTAATCTTCAGGTGTCAATTTAAATGATACTTTCCCAGGGAATCCTTCTATAGCCATTAAAGGTGGGTCAGCTGCCCTTCCTCTGGACCCCCAAAGTCACTTGTCCAATTCCACCTTAGTGTTAAAAACTTCTCTCATGCTGAAAGATTTTAAAATTCCAATTAGAATCTGCAGGATAATACACTTAAATCTTTGCATCATTCTGTAACAGAATCATCCCAGAGACTAACTGGCATGTCCAAGCAGCTAAGCCATCTGCCCTTCCGGCCAGTCACCCACCAGCAGCAGGCATCCATGCAACCCTACAGGTAAACAGCACTTACACTGCAAGAGTCTTTCACCAAAAAGGTAGTTGTTCATTGTTTCAGCAACTATATTGGCAACATCATCAGACTCAAACTCCACAAAGGCATAGCCTTTGCTATTTCCAGTCTGCAACGGAAAATCCACCATGAAAAGTAGAACAATTAAAATCTAATTCGACATCAAACTCTTACAATGTCATTTATTTAAACAATGTACATTAGCCCTTTATCAAGTAATATCATGATACCTTTAATTACAACTTTAATTCACATATTCCTGGGGAATATTATGGGAAAAAGAAAAGATCCAAAGTAGTCTGAATATGAAGGTGATTTTTCTGGTATTCCTGTAATTGTGGTTACATATGAGAAATACATAATCCCCATGGCTGGAATTTATCCAATAATAAAAGCCCATCATATAAAAAAGTCTTCAGCCAAAAAAGTAACCTGGAATAGAGCGGAAGTCAGGGGGCTCATTTCTAGCACCAGCTATGTCACTATCGAGCAACTCGGAACACTTCCAATTGATTCTCAGTTTAGTTATCTTCAGTGGGGGATTTTTGTAAAAATTAAAATGACTAAAAATCCATTTATAATCTCAATTCTCAAAGAAGTGGAAGAGACAATGTGAAATCCAATTCAATGTACCACCAATGTAAACTGATACAAACCTTTTGAAAAGTGATTTGAAAATATGTCATTAAAAAAAATAGTAACTTTATCCAATAATCCCAGAATGTTGGAAATACCAAGCAAACAGTCCAAAATAGAGACTAGTGGTCTTTACTATACAATAATTCTGGAAATGGTAAATTTTTAGTGCATCTCCTGAATGAGCAGGCTTTTTATAAGACAACTGGCCTAAATGCTTCAAAAAAGCCAACGTAAAAAAAAAACCAAACAAAAAAAAAACAGTTATGTAAAAAATGGCAAGGAGATGGTTCTAGATAGGCTAATAGCTGTAACAACCAAATGTAATGGACAGACCTTGACTGGAACTCAGAACAGGTAGAGAAAAAAATAGCTAAAGACATTCTGGGACGACTGCGGATATATGAAGACAGTACATTATATACTATTATATTGTGGTTATGCAGAAGAATGTCCTTATTCTTAGATTTACGATGAAGTACTTAATGTATTTTGACTGCTGTTTTTTCCAAATGGTTCAACAAAACAAAAAAAGTGCATGTGTTTATACAGACACAGAGAGATGAAGCGCATGTGTTAGGGTGTTAGTAAAGGGTGAATCTAGGTGAAGGGTGAAGGGATGCTCATCACACTATTCCTTTTTTTTCTTTTTGAGACAGAGTCTCACTCTGTTGACTGGGCTAGAGTGGCATGGCGTCAGCCTAGCTCACAGCAACCTCAAACTCCTGGGCTTGAAGTGATGATCCTTCTGCCTCAGCATCCCGAGTAGCTAGGACTACAGGCGTGTGCCACCATGCCCAGCTAATTTTTTCTATATATTTTTAGTTGGCCAATTAATTTCTTTCTATTTTTAGTAGAGACATGGTCTCGCTCTTGCTCAGGCTGGTCTCAAACTCCTGAGTTCAAATGATCCACCCACCTGGGCCTCCCAGAGTGCTAGGATTACCAGCATGAGCTTTCTTTTTTTTCTTTAAAACATAATTGCTAACCCCACACTATTCTTTCTACTTCTCTGCAGACTTTGAATTCAAAATATGAAGTTAGAAGGAACAATGACCATACTACAATATGGAAAAACACTTACAAAATAACACCCACAAAAGGCAGAAAGTTTCTGTGAAAGACAAATGATAAGAGGAAAAGATATGAATAGGCAATTCACAGAAAAGGGAATTCCAATGATCAATGATATTTAACCTCACTAAGAATAAGGTAGAGACAAAAACCATGAGCAGGCTGGGCACCAAGGCTCATGCCTATAATCACAGCACTTTGTGAGGCTGAGGCAGGAGGACGCCTTGAGCCCAGGAGTTTGAGACTGCAGTGAGCTATGATCAGGTCACTGCACTCCAGCCAGGGCGACAGAGCGAGACCCTGTCTCAAAAACAAACAAAATCAAAAAAGGAACCCCAAACAAACCCATGACCATTCTATACTCAGTGACCCCGAGGATATGGGGTAAAGCAACACTTTTCAAACACACAGTTTGACCTTTTAGGGGGTAATAAAACCAACTTAGTAGGTCAGAAAAGTATTTTTTTTTTAAACTGAATAGAAAATCAGTGTATCACAAAAAACATGGTTTAAGTATTGTCTCATTCAACTTTCATTTTAGTTACGTATACCTAAATGTGTACATGTGCTGGTGTGTGCTATAAAACTTACTTCTTATTGTGGGCCAAAAGCTAAAACACTATTCTAGAAAAATCTGCCTATACCTGCAAATAATGTTCCTAGCAGCTTCACCTGAAGTGTGAAAAACTGTAAAATATCTAATGTTAAATAGGAGGATAGATAAACTTTAGTTATTAAGCAAAGAAACAGCAATGATAATAAATGCACTAGAGTTACAAGTTAAATGGATAAAGCTCAAAACAGATTACTGAATGAAAAAATTAAGTTGCAGGACAAATTTTTTTTGGAGACAGTCTTGCTCTGTTGCTCAGGATAGAGTGCCATGGCGTCAGCCTAGCTCAGAGCAACCTCAAACTCCTGTGCTCAAGCAATCCTACCGCCTCCGCCTCCTGAGTAGCTGGGACTACAGGCATGTACCACCATGCCTGGCTAATTTTTTCTATATATTTTTATTTGTCCAGCTAATTTGTTTTTATTTTTAGTAGAGACAGGGTCTCACTCTTGCTCAGGCTTGTCTTGAACTCCTGAGTTCAAACAATCCTCCCACCTTGGCCTCCCAGAGTGCTAGGATTACAGGCATGAGCCACCACACCTGGCCCATGATACAGTTTTAAAACAAATACTATATAATGTACATTGATTATAAATATGTAGTAAAGATTTTAAAACAGCAATGAAAAACACTGCATTTATGAATTCTCTGGGCAGGTGAGGGGGGACTGGGGAAACATACAAAAGGGACCTCAAGTCTAACTATAATCTATTTTATTTCTTTCTTCTTTTTTTTTTTTTAAAAACAGGGTCTTGCTCTGCCTCCCAGGCTAGAGTACAGTGGCATCATCATAGTTTACTGCAACTTCAAACTCCTGGGCTTGAAGTGATTCTCCTGCTTCAGTCTCCCAATTAGCTGGGACTACAGGCAAGCGCTACCACACCTGGCTAATTTTTCTATTTTCGGTAGAGACAGCGTCACACTCTTGCTCAGACTGGACTCGAATTCCTGGCCTCAAGCGATCCTCCTGCCTTGGCCTCCCAAAGTGCTAGGATTACAGGCATAAGCCACCACACCTGACTATAATCTATTTCTTACACAAAGATCTCAGGCAAGTATGATATCAAGTTGACATTTGACAAAACTGAATGGTGGTATACCTGGGTACCCAGATATAATTCAGTAAATTATTCCCTAGTAGACTTCAGGATGTTTGAAATATCCGCAGAACAAACAACCAATACAAGTAGGAAAACGAGGGGGAAGAAGAGGGAGGGGGAATACAAAGAAAATGTTATTTTGGTTAGGATGGCAGACAGCATTTTAAATTAAGATTTCCTTTAATGTTATTCTGACAAAATAAAATTTAAAACCCATGGTTTTATGACAACTAGCAGATTATAGATGTACATCCTATCCTCTCACATGCTAAACAAATTATCTACTATAACTACGTAGGGAAATGTAGAAAATAGCATTAAAAAAAAAAAGAGAAAATTGCCATCAAATTGGTACTGACTGATTAACACTATGGTGCTCAAAGGGTGGTGGTGTGCACCAGGGATTCGGGGGTTGGAAGGGTAGTCCCACATCTGAGGGATGTGGTGAGCATTGTGGAGGGGAAGGTCATACCTCTAATCCTTGCTAGGGAGAGGCAAAGATATAAAATGTAACCATAATGTTAAAACACTCCCAGAAGTTGATGCTATTTATAATTTATAGATCACAAAACTGAAGCATGAAAATGTTATATAACTTGTCCAACTAGCAAGCTGTAGAGTCAGGCCTTGAACCCAAGTAGTATGGCTCTAGAGTAACTATTCCCTATATACACCTTTGCTACCATGTTTCTCCAAAAGTAAGACAGGGTCTTATATTTACTTTTCATCAAGAAGATATCCTAGGGCTTATTTTCAGGGGATGTGTTATTTTTTTTAAGTACGGTACAACAATCTACATTTATTCAAATACAGTTAAGTCGTCTTCTTCTGAAACATCTTAAGTCTCCAAACCCCGAACTCCATCCTGAACTTCTTGTGACTCTATTTCCTTTAGAACTATTGGCCCCAATCTCTCATGTCAAGCAATAGAGCTCTCATTAACCACTTCGGTAAGGTGCTCACCGGCCATGAAACCTTGCCCACAGCCCGCACTCATAGTCCGCACGATAGTTTGTGCTGTGCATTGACAACGAATCCGTTTTGCTCTTGTGTGATGAGGAAAGCTTTAAAGCACTGAAAGCTTGTTTTACTTTATAGGCAGCTTTCCTTGTAATGTAAATCAGAATAGGTAACATATACATATATGTGTTTTCATTACGTTATTTTTATTTTTTTTTATTTTTATATTTTATCATACTCTCTAGATCATGTGCTTTCATTACGTTATTTTTAAATGTTTACAATTTTATTTTGATAAATGAAAAATTAGAAAAGTCAAGTTTTGTTATTAACGCTAAAGTCAACGCTTGGCTGTGCGCGTTCATCTGTGGCTATCAACTATAGTTGAGGCTCGTACCTAAGTGTTAAATGAACGGGGCTGGCTTATTTATCAGAGATCCAGTGAGCACTGGGTCCAATCTGCACAGTGGAGCAGAAATGATCTCTTTGGGCTCAGTAGGAGACTGCATGCTAAAGCTTTCCCCCTATCCCCTGGTGTTTGTGGGGGGGTGACAGAGGCCCACGGTGCTGAGTAAAATTGCAGCCACAGCTTTCCCTCTTCCCCCTGGGGACACACAATACCTAAAGTGGAGTGTCCTGCTCCTCACTTCACTGAGGAGACTTTCCCCTCAAAGCCTCAGCTTGCAGCACGCACAGGATGGCCAGGACCTGACGGGGGAACTGACCTTGTTGGTGGGGCTACCCGCACCTTTCCGGTCACCTCTGGGATAGTAGCTGTCACGAAGGGGCAGATGAGAAGGGCTGCTCATCATCTTCTTTACCGCTCCACCACGAAACGCATGGGTTGTGCAGATACACTGCATACCCACACCCATCATTAGGTCTTATTTTCGGGGTAGGCCTTATATTGCGCAAATGCTTAGAAATTCTGCTAGGGCTTATTTTACGGGTAGGTCTTATTTTTGGGGAAACAAGGTGTTATAGGGATGCCTGTAACAGAGGCTAATATAAAAAGATGTATGAACCTGGTGCTCAAACTGAAGTTCATTTGCCAGAATTGTCAATTTAAGGCAAGGATTTGGGCAATGTAAAACAATAAAAATAACAATGACTTTGATCTTGTGGCTCTTTCAGATTCTAAACTTCACCCACTCCCCGGCTCCCTTTGGGAATGAAGCCTGATAAGCAACAATGTATAAGTGAAAATGCTTTGTAAACTGTAAAAGATGATATACATTTGAGACACACCACAAAAAATCTTACCCTTTTACTTCTGGACAGTCTTAATCTTGTAATAGTGCCAAACTGGGAGAAATAATCATGGATCTGGCTTTCATGAAGTGTGTTAGGTAGGTGGCCCACATAGATTACTCCAGGCTTAAGTTTTTCTTGCTTTTGTCGCTGAAGACATAAAGACCAGGTTAAGTTAAACATTTTTAAAATAAGAAAATCACATCACAACAGAACTTGCAAAACCTGCCTTGTATTTCCACTTTATCACAGTACTAATTAAAGAATTAGCCGTTTACTGTCTATCTCCCCACAAGGACAATCGTCAAGCAGTCATCGTCTTCTCAGCCTCACATCACAGCACTAAGTACAATCTAAGAGCTCAATAACTACATGTTAAATCAGTGGATAAGCAATTACATTTTCGAATATGACATTTTAAATCTTCGGCCCAGGGAACTCCACATAAATGTACCCTTCAATTTTGTTTGCAGATCACTTTACTTGTTCCTATGCAACACTTTTCCAGAAGCTTTTAACCTTCACAATTATGAGACCTTTCGGCGTCTCAGTCATTGTACCTTTAGATTCCGTAGCAAGAACTTTTAAAGTTTTCCAGTGTATTTTATGCTAAAAACCAAAGAAAACATAAACTTGATATCTCATGGGCCCTAGTGAGCAGTTAAAATTTGGCAGATATTGTCTTCCAAGAACTGCAAAATCACCATCCAGGCATACAGACCTCCCAAATGGTGTGGTAAGTCTGGGGCTCCCATTTTCGGGGCAAAGCTGAAGCGTGACGGCTCTAACCTGGGGTTAATCTGCGGTATAAGAGTGCTCATTCCCTCCAGCTAGGTCTCTTTTCCTCCTCTTGTGTCACTCCAGTACTTTCCCTTACCTTCCATATGCAGACTAAGGCCTCCGCGGCCAAACCCCTCCATTATTCCCCGACCAGCGTAAACCCCCTTTTCTCAGAAACCTCGGCCTCCAAGCTGACGCAGTGGGCGCCCGCCCTGGAGACCCCAGAGACGCCCCCAGAATCGGTCGCCGCTTCCCCTCAGCCTGGCCGCGGCGGCAGCTTACCGGCTTCATGCGCCGGCGGCGAACCTGCATCACCTCCTTCTGAAACTCGTCATCTTGCTGCGGGTACAGCGACAGAATCGGCCCGGGAGGCTCAGTTAAAGCCGCCATGCCGAAAGCTGCAAATGCGACAAACTCCACGCGGCGCGCCCGGAAATGCTGGGCTCTCTACGCCTTCAAAGCGGAAGTAGAGGCAGGAGAGGGGCGTGGCGAGGCACACGCGCGGGCGGGCCGCGGGGTGGGGCCGAGCGAGCTCCAACGCCCCCTGCTGGCGGAGCGCGGCTTGGCCTCGCTTTGGAATGTCTACAATCACAGGCCGGGCGCGGTGGCTCAGGCCTGTTCTCTGAGCACTCTGGGAGGCTGAGGAGGGAGGATCGCTTGAAGCCACGAGTTGGACACCAACCTGAGCAAGAGAGAGATCCTCGTTTCTACAGAAGATGCAAAAATTAGCCGGGCGTGGTGGCGTGTGCCTGTGGTCCCAGCTACTCACTCAGGAGGCTGAGGCAGGAGGATACCTTGAGCCCAGAGTGTGAGGTTGCTATGAGCTATGATGATGCCACTGCGCTCTAGTCAGGGTGACAGAGTGAGATTCTGTCTCAAAAAATAAAAAAATCCAAGGTAATTGGCTCAGACCAAAAAATAAATAAATAAATAAATTACATTCACACCTTTCAAAGGTGGTTTAAAAATAAAAATTCTCCAAAGTGGTGCCCGTGCCCATGATATCTTGCTAACCATTCGATAATTTTTTAATTCCTTTCTTCTTCTACTCACTTGTGTTTGGGGCCTCTCCTGTTTGTTCCTGTGCTGTTGCCCTTAGGGAACTTACCGCCTGGCTGGAGGGCTGGGTAAAGGACTTTTGGGGGGGGGTCCAGGCTAAGAGAGACTTAAAAGCCCCCTTGGGGAAAGGCTTAGTGGGTGGCCCAGGAGAGCATCCTGGAGGAGGTGACATTGGCACTGAGTCCTTGAGGCTGGAAGAAGTTGCAGGTGAAGAACTGGGAGCCCACCGTCCAGCAGAGGGGCCAGCCCTGTACAGCGTCCTTAGGACTGGAGAAAAGGAAACTGCTGGTGTGGTTGGAGCCCAGCAAGTGTGAGGGAGAGTGGCGGGGGGCAGGCTGGAGCTCCAGGACTCTGTGTGTCAAGGTACAAAATTCGGGGTTTTGTTGTAAATGCAGGAGGTTCAGTCCTTTAGGTAGGACTGTGGCTGTTTATGCTTTTCAAATACTACTAGCAAGTAATTGAGTAGAGAAGGTGGGGAGTGGATTGCAGAGGAACCAGGGAGATGAGACTAAAGTCCCTGCACAGCTGATCTCAGGGGACAGCAGTGGTATTGTTCTGGAACCATGGGGGGTAGCTGGTACGGTGGTGCAGAAGAGGGGATCAGGCCTGCAGGGTGGAGGGGGTGGGAGGGATTGTGGGGAGGACCAGAGCCACTCCTTCTTCCCTGCCGCCACTCACTGCCTTTGCCTCCTACACCCCCCAACTCCCGAGGGGAGGCTTCCCAGACTGTAGCAAAGTCAGCTCTTCCAATGAAACCCTCTCTTACCACTGTGTTTTCATGGCCAGACTGGATTTTCAGGAGAGTGGGAGTGGAGAGCAATTTTTTTTTTTTTTTTTTCACTTTGTTGCCCAGGCTAGAGTGAGTGCCATGGCATCAGCCTAGCTCACAGCAACCTCAATCTCCTGGGCTCAAGCGATCCTGCTGCCTCAGCTTCCCCAGTAGCTGGGACTACAGGCATGCACCACCATGCCCAGATAATTTTTTGTATATATATTTTTAGTTGGTCAATTAATTTCTTTCTATTTTTAGTAGAGATGGGGTCTCGCTCAGGCTGGTTTCGAACTCCTGACCTCAAGCAATCCGCCCGTCTCGGCTTCCCAGAGTGCTAGGATTACAGACGTGAGCCACCATGCCCAGCCGGAGAGTGGGTGTGGAGAGCAATTTTGTCCTCTCTCAGGGTTACTCCTTCTCAGGGGCTTGGTCCCACTCCTCCATGGTCAGACTCTTGGGGAGAGCTCCTCACTTGAGATCACTCCTTAGACAGTGAATAGAGGCATTCCTGGTTTTCAAAATCTAATATCAAATGTCTCCTCTCTCCCAAGCTCAGCCCTGTCTCAGGCCTAGAAACCCCCCGAGGGGAACGGAGGCCACCTCCTGCTTCCTCTTGGCTTCACTTTCTCCCCCGGCCCCCTTTGCCCCCGTTTCTGTTCTTGGCCCCTCCAGGATGGGGACAGGGAAGAGAGGCAGGAAAGGGCAGCAAAGAGCTCCTTGACTGGCAGGTGCCACGTGGCCAGGGAGCCCAGAGGTGGCACGTCCTGGGTTGCTGGCTCCTGCTCTCCGAAGTGTACTTTTGAGGTGTTCCCTGGCCTGTTGCTCATGACTCAGCCTGCCTGCCAGGGCTTCCGCCTGCCTGCGGGGCTCAGCTCTGCACCCAGGGGCTTCTCTCAGAAAGGCCTTCCAAGCCGATCCCATCCTCCTGATCCTTTAGGAAGGGCCAATCTTTTCTCTGTCACCATCATGGGATGAAACTCTGCCTTGCTGCCGGGCAGGCCTCCTGGCTGGCCTCAGGTTAGATGTTGATGTGTGAGTCAGGAACTGGTCCCTATATCCCCCAAATTCCAGAGGACACAGACCAAGTTCAGTGGTTCCCTGAAGGTAGCCCCCTTGGGGGGTGTGTGTGTGAGTGAACACTCCCCTCCTTCCCGAGAGTGACATCTTGACATGTCCCATAGCTACTGCAGGGAGGGGAGGATCCAGGAAGCGGTGACAGCAAACTGACGACTCTTTCTTGGGAATCCTCTCTCAGGTTTTCCCAACCACTACCTGGGCCCTTGAACGAGGACCATCTGTGAGACAGCAGAGCAGACCCAAGCCTGAGCCTAGCCAGGCCCCAGACCCCTGAGCAGGACATAAGCGTTTGTTGAGAGTGCTGAGATCTGCAGGTTGTTTGTTAAGCATTGTTATCACGCATAACCTAATACAGCACGGAGGGAAGAACTGTCTTGTCAAACACCATGAGCACACCCCACCCTCTGCCTGAGACACACTGGGTACAGAAAAGGAACAGAATGGAGCTGTGAGAGGAACATGCACAGTCAACGAATCACCACGTCACAAATGAAGGAAGTGCCTTTAATGACAGGTTGCAAGGTGGCATGAAAAGGAGGAACCTGAGGAGCGTCAGTGAAAGTTTTCCCCGGGGCCATGACGTTTAAGACCTGAGGATGCGTGTGGGTGTGACACAGGATGAGGGACTCACTTCCAGCTGAGGGACTTGCTGTGGAGGAGCTTGCTGTGCCTGAGAGGCTGGAGTGGGAGCTTGAGGTGTCACCTGGAGGGCCCTGAGAGCCACTGGGAGGTGACTGAATTTTATGCTAAGCAGAAGGGCTATGAGAATTTTATTTATTTAACCAAAACTTATTTTGTAAGCATATTAATTAGTTTTATCACCAGAGTCAATTTGGGTCTTGGTCTACAAAAATGAACTCTGAGTTTCAAATGGAAGGCGGTGAGAATATGCCACCAGCCAACGCTCTGCTCCATCACTGCCCTGGTGCCCGAGGGATGGGCTGCTTGGAGAGCGTGCCTTTCCCTAATTCATATCTCTCCACTTGTGCCCTCCAGTAGCTCAAAGCCTGGTCAGACACAGGTCTCAGGAAGCACGCAGGCTCATGCTCTGTCACCACCCTAGTTAAAGCCACCATTCCCCCTGAAAGTGCACCAATAGGCCACTGATGGTTCCCTCCTCACCCACCCTTGCCCCTCCAACTTATTCTCCACCCAGCAAATTGGAAAACTTCTCTCTAGTGCCTTGCTTGTGCCTTTGCAATAGCCATGGTAATACACTGTTGGGCTTTCTTACTGTTCCCAGGAGGAAGAAGAAACAGAAGGTGAACAGATCTAAATGCCAGCTGGGACCAGCGCACATCAGCCAAACCCTAGCTGATCTCAAGTCACAAGAGCAACTTCAGCCCAGAACATCAGAGAGTCCAGCTCAGCCCAGCTGAGTTGACATCCAGAGCAGAAGTGTTGCCCAGCACAGCTCAGTCAAGACCAGCCAAATCCCAGCCGATCCACAGACTCACTGTCAACAAGATTCAGCTGTTGAGCTGGACAAGGCCAGGGTCCCCCATGGTCTAGGGACCAGTCCCTACAATTGTGGAGGAACACAGGTGGCCCAACACTCTTGCCACTGTACGCATAGCTCCATCCAGCATCTAATACCCCTGAAGATCCTCATTCTGAGCAGCACTGCCCTGGATTATATTCATCAAATCTTCCAGGCACTACTGTCCTTCGGATAGGTGCCTGAGTCCTGCCCCAGCTAGCAGGGCTGCCTCTTAGTCAGAGCCAGGTGTGGGGTATGTGCCTACTGTCCCAAGCTACTAGTGAAGCTGAAGCAGGAGGATTGCTGGAAATCAGGAGTTTGAGGCTGTAGTGCGCTACGATTGCTCCTGTGAATAGCCACTACATTCCAACCTGGGCAACAGCACAGGAGATCCCAACTCTTAAATACGACAAAAACAAACAAACAAACAAAAAACATAGTCATCGACCCCAGTAGATGGCAGATTAACTCCCGGGAAGTCAAGAATCTTTTCTAAATTGCCATCTTGCATGTGCATGTTCAGTGACTTCTCAATGGAGGGCTGACTTTCTGTCAATTCCCTTCAATTTTATCACTGTCCCTTTAAATGCCCATGGTGGCCCTGCCTGGAACAGAAGCTGATCTTTAGAATTCTTGATATTTGTCAATTTCTATTTTTAAAAAAAAGCCTCTTGGGACAATTCTGCCTCTGGAAAGATGGAGTAGATGTACTTTTTTTTTTTTTTTTTGAGCCAGAGTCTTGCTTTGTTGCCCAGGCTAGAGTGAGTGCCATGGCGTCAGCCCTAGCTCACAGCAACCTCAATCTCCTGGGCTCAAGCGATCCTGCTGCCTCAGCCTCCCGAGTAGCTGGGACTACAGGCATGCGCCACCATGCCCGGCTGCTTTTTTCTATATATATTAGTTGGCCAATTAATTTCTATTTATAGTAGAGAGGGGGGTCTTGCTCTTGCTCAGGCTGGTTTTGAACTCCTGACCTTGAGCAATCTGCCCACCTCGGCCTCCCAGAGTGCTAGGATTACAGGCGTGAGCCACCACGCCCGGCCGGAGTAGATGTACTTTA